ATCTGCCACATTAATAGAACAAATGAAGAGAACACATTATCATCTCAATCAACTCAGAAAAGGCATTTGATAACATCCAACCCCCTTTCATCAAAAAACACTCAACAAATGAGAAATAGAAGGGAAATTCCTTAACGTGATAGAGGATGTTTATGAAAATGCCACAGCTAACATCATACTCAATGGAGAAAGACTGAGAGGTTTCCCATAAGCTGAGGAACGAGACAAGGATACCTGATTTCACCACGGCTACTCAACATTGTACTGGAAGTCCTAGCCGGAGAAATTGGGAAAGAAAAAGAAATAAAAAGTACCCAAATTGGGAAGGAAGAAGTAAACAATCCCTTTTCACAGATGAAATGAACTTCTATATAGAAAATCTCAAAGAATCCACCAGAAATCTAGTAGTTATTAAATGAATTCAGCAGTGACACAGTACAAGGTAAACACACAAAAATCAGTTGAGTTTCTATACAGCAGCAATGAGCAAGCTGAAAGGAAATTTAAAAAAGCAATTCTAGTTACAAAAGCATTTAAAAGAATAAAATACCTAGAAATAAATTTAACCTTCACCCAACCAGGGAGGTGAAAGACTTGTACATTGAATACTATAAAACATTACTGAAAGAAAAAAAGGAAGACCTAAATAAATGGAAGGACGTTCTGTGTTCATAATTTAGAAGATTTACTATTGTTAAAAAGTCAATACTACCTGTCATGGATTGAATTGTGTCCCCCCAAAAATTTGTCAACTTGGCTAGGTCATGATTCCCAGTATTGTATGATTGTCTACCGTTGGTCATCTTATGTGATTTCCCTATGTGTTGTAAATCCTATCACTATGATATAATGAGATGGATTAGTGACAGTTATATTGATGAGATCTACAGGATTAGATAGTGTCTTAAGCCAACCTCTTTTGAGATATAAAAGAGAGAAGCAAGCAGAGACACATGGGAATCTCAAGCCACCAAGAAAGCAGTGCCGGGAGAGAGCGCGTCCTTTGTACCTGAAGTTCCTGTGCTGAGATGCTTCCATACCAAGGGAAGACTGATGCATCACAAGGACCTTTCTCCAGAACCAACAGAGAAAGCCTTCTCCTGGGGCTGATGCCCTGAATTTGGACTTGTAGCCTACTGTTAAAGCCATCCACTTGTGGTATTTCTGTTATAGCAGCACTAGATGACCAAGATACTACCCAAAGCGATCGATAGATTCAGTGCAATTCCTTTCAAAATTCCAACAGCTTTCTTTGCAGAAAAGGAAAAGTCAATCTTCAAATTTATATCAAATTGCAAGGGGGCCTCCATCAAAGCAATCTTAAAAGAACAACAAAGTAGAAGAAATTACACTTCCAAATTTCCAAACATACTACAAAGCTATAGTAATCAGTTTGCAATAACAACCAAAAAATATGTGAGTGGTTACATAGATAGATATGTAGGCGTATATGTGTATAGGAAAGTATACGTGTATATATATGTGTGCACGTATAGGTGTATCTGTAGGCATATGTATATACATGTTAGTGTGTGCTGCATATATATTCATATATATAATAAAGCCCATAAGGGGCACAGTCACGGATACTTCCTGGACATAACCAAACACCTCACAGGATTGGTTTACTGGGTTTGAAGGCATAGGACCATAGTCTTGTGGAACAACTCAGTCAATTGGCACAATATAGTCCATGAAGTTTATGTTCTACATCCTAGTTTGGTAAGTAGCCTCTGGGGTCTTAAAAGCTTGCGAGTGGACATCTAAGACATAACTATTGGTCTCTACATGTCTAGAGCAAAAGAGAAATAAGGAAACCAAAGATTCAAAGAAGAAACTAGACTACAGGGCTGATAACCTACATGAACCACAGCCTCATCTATCCTGAGACCAGAAGAACTAGATGGTGCCTGGTTACCACTACTGACTGTTCTGACCAGTAACACAATAGATGGTCCTGTCTAAAATGGAAGAAAAATGTAGAACAAAACTAAATTCTTAAAAAAGGCCAGACTTACGGAACTAGTAGAGATTAGAGGAATCCCTGTGATTATCACCCTGAGATACCCTTTAAACTTTGAATTGAAACCACTACCAGAGATCACATTTCAGCTAAATAACAGATTGACTCATAAAATATACAATGTCACCCACGAGTACTGTGCTCCTTTAAAAAATCATCTATATGAGACCGAACAGTCAACATTTACCTTAAAGCAAAGATGAGAAGGTAAGGGGGGGCAGGGAAGCTAGATTAATGGAAACAGAACAACCAGAACAGAAATAATGAGAATGTTGACAAAATGTAAAAAAATGTAACCAATGTCACTGAACAATATATATAGGAATTGTTAAATGGAAACCCAATTTGCTGCATGAACTTCCACCAAAAACAAAATAAAATATTTTTTTAAAAAGCTACAGTAATTAAAATAGACTGGTGTGGGTTAAGAATAGACACAGAGACCAAAGGAATAGTGAAGTTGGATCCATACCTCACACCATATACAAAAACTAACTCAAAATGGATTAACTACCTAAATATAAAAATTAAAACCATAAAACTCTTAGAACAAAACATAGTGGTAGTGGATTCTTAAATATGACACTAAAAGTACAAACAACAGGAGACAAAATAGATAAATTGGACTTTGTGAAAATTAAAAGTTTTTGTGAATCAAAGGACATTATCAACAAAGTGAAAGAGTCAACTTACAGAATGGGAGAAAATATTTGCAAACCCTAAATCTGATAAGAGTTTAATATCAGTAATATATAAAGACCTCCTACAACTCAACATGAAAAAGACAAATAACCCAATCAAAAATGGGCAAAGAACTTGAATAGACATTTTTCCAAGGAATTTATACACGTGGCCAACAAACACATGAAGAGATGCTCAATGTCATCGGTTATTGTTATTGTTTGATGTTGGTGAGTCTATTTTGACTCATAGTGGCCCCATGTGACAGAGTAGAATTACCCCATAGGGTTTTCTAGGCTATAATCTTGTCAGGAGCAGATTGCCAGGTCTTTTTCCCACAGAGCTGCTGGGTCATTAGGGGAATGCAAATCAGAACCATAGTGAAATATCTCTTCACTCCCACTAGGATGGCTATCATTAGAAAAATGGAAAACAGCAAGTGTTTTAGAGATATGGAAAAATTGGAACCCTAATCCATCGTTGGTTGGATTGTAAAATGGTGCAGCTGCTGTGGAAAACACTTTTAGCCGTTCCTCACAAAGTTCAACATACAATCACCATATGATGCAGCAATTCCACTCTTAGGTATATTCCCAAGAGAACTGTAAGCAGGGGCTTAAACAGATATTTATACACCAACGTTCATTGCAACACTGTTCACAATAGTCAAAAGGTAAAGTCAACCCATTGTCCATCAATAGATGCATGGACAAACAAAATGTGGTACATACATACAATGTAATATTATTCAGCCAGAAAGACAAACGAAGTCCTGATTCATGCTACCACATGGATGAACCTTGAAAACATTATGCTGAGTGAAACAAGGCAGACACAAAAGGCCAAATATTGTATGATCCCACTTATATGAAATATCTAGAATAGGCAAATGCATAGAGACCAGTTTATTAGTGGTTACCAGTGACGGGAGAGAGAAGAAGGGGAGAGTTATGACTTAGGGGAAGGCATTGAATTTCTGTTAATGGTGATGGAAAAATTTGTAAACAGTTCTCATGGTTAATCAACATGGCAAATGTAATAAATGTCACAGGATTGTACACATTAAAAAGGTTTTAAGAATAGTTAAAATGGTGAAATGTAGTTTTATACACATATATATTACCACAATAAAAAAAATCATGAAGTAATTTGTACTTTTGACCTGCAGTCAATTCCTGTGTGACCTTAATTTAGGGATTGGGATCCTTGACCTGAGGAAACAGAATAGTAGGAAAAGGAAGAATATGGGTGACAGATGATTGTAGCGATTAAGTAATAGATGTTCTTGCAAAAGTTCTAGCCAGTCACAGCACAAAGCCTGCAGGAACCAGCTGGGAGACTTGGCCACCTTGGGCCCACCTCAGGTGGGAATTCCCAGGGTGATTTCTGGGATGCAGGACTCCTCCATCATTTCCTCCTGTGGGTCTAAATCACCTGCTTTCAGATTGGGGTCCACGGAGGTGTCAGAATGGTGCAGGTCCATTTCAGAATCAGCCTTCCTGTAGCCTCCCTCTCTCCCTGAGGCCAGGAGATTGGTGCCCATCTCCACCTCTCCTTCCTTAGTCACCCATCCAGACTCCAAGCTGGGACCACTACCCTGGGTGTTACCATCTCAGGACCCCAAAAGAAGGAAAAGAGCTCCAGACCAAATAATGAAGGAAGTAGTACTTAATTTTATCTATGTGCCTATTGCTCTATCATCAGAGTGCACAAGGGGAAGGCCTGTCCTGGGACCCTGTTAACGTGCTACTTAAGTTGAACGTGAAGTCTACCATTTTCTTTCAAAAGCCCTGGGGGAGTCTAATTTGCCAGTGAGTTTGTCAGTGAGAATTGGCTTTGCCAATGAGGTTATGAGACTGATGTTTTCCATAAATCAGTGAACGGAATCTGCAGGGCTAAGGATCTAACAAAACCCATCTGAAGCCCATATACAGTATAGGATATGCCAACAATCACACCCTTCCAACGATTTACAGAAAAAAATTTTAGATGTCAACTTAAAAATGTGCTAGAGAGAGATGATGGTTGCACACCTTATGAATATGTGAATATACTAAAAAACACTGAATTGCAAACTTTAAATGTGAGAGTTATATGGTAAAACAACTGTATCTGCCAGCAGAGCTGGGAGAGGATCACGCGACTCCAGCAACCTGGAACAGAACTCCCCTCCCGCGGGCAGGGTTGGGGACTCCATTCCCCACAAGCCCGCCGGTGCGACTCCACTTCCCACAATTCCCGCGCCACTTCCGGAGCGGCCGCCGCGCCCCCGACGACTTCCGGGTTTGGGCCTGGCGCTGCGGTTGAGGCGGCAGTGGCGGAGCTGAGCTAAGTGGGGTGCGGGCGGCGGGATTGGGGGTCCGGCATGGACGTTTCGGGGCAGGAGACCGACTGGCGGAGCGCCGCCTTCCGGCAGAAGCTGGTCAGTCAAATGTGAGTAGGGGCGGGGGAAGGGGGAAGAGGCGGGATCGCGGGACCTTTCCCCCTCAGCCAGTCCTCCTCCCGGCGGGCGAGGCCAGACCTGCGGGAGACACAGGGCACCAGGACCGCTGGGGCCCGAAGGCACCGGGAGGCCGAAGGTGCCGAGGACTCGTGTGCGTTCCAGGGCGCGGTCCTCCCCTGGCTCCTGCCTTCACTCTTGGCCGACGTGGTCTGCTTGTTGGGCTTTCCTAGGGCTGAACTCTAAACCAGCGAGCCCTGGCTATGAGTCATCTTCTTGAGCTTGCTCATTCGTCCCTTAGGTGCCTTGGATACAGCCTTCCCCCGCTTTCTTCACGCTGACTGCGAAAAGGGAAGGAGGCAGCCCGCGGTGGGTTTCACAGGTCGGAGCACTTCGTGGCTCCTCTTCTGGAAAAGCCCATCAGGGAGAGAGGGAGGCGTTGGAGAAGGGTGGGTGAAAGATGCAGTTGGGAGGGTAGGTGTTTGGGCTGTGGGCGGTGGGGACCCTGCGACGAGGTGTGGCAGGAAGCGTCTGTCGGTTCTGGAGGAGGGCGTGAGGAGCTGGGTTAGAGCCTCCTCCGCACAGTCTCAACCGCTGCTACTTCTCCATGCTGGGGCTTCCAGAGCGCCTAGGCCGTGCCTCCCAGTGAAACTCCAGCCCCTCACACCGTCAGCGCGTTTCATTTACCAGACTGTTATTGAGCTAACCAGCTGTTGTGCTAGCGTCAGGTTTGCCTGAGACACAGCCCTTGCCCTCAGCGAACACACAGCCAGTAAAGGGAAAATTACAGTGCACTCTTAGCATTGCTCCGAAATACTAGGGATACAGCCGGGACAGTTAGCTTGGGTAGGCTCAGAGCAGCCTGTGGAGTAGATGATGAGTGAGCATTAGAAAGACAGGGCCGTCAGTCATTCACTGAATGCAGGACTTTCCTTCAGGCTGAGAGTTCTGCGGTTGGGAGAGGGTAATGGAATGAGGGTAAGCAGGCACCGGCACGTTAGTCCTGCCAAGGAGTTGAGTCTGTATTTGGCAGGTGGCCTGCTTTGAGGTAGTGGAACCAGGGCTTCCAACAGGTTCACTCGGGTTCAACCTTCTACTGAGAATTTGCCTTTCCACCTAGATATGCTGAATCAGTCTACAGTTTAACAACATCCCCCCAGGTGATTCTTACATATACATAATAGTTTTAACAAGACCCTCAGGTGATTCTTATGTTGAAATACTTATGCATACATAAGAATCACCTGGGGATCTTGTTAAACTGTAGGTTTTGATTCAGTGTATCTCAGGTGAAAATACAGGTTTTCATCAGGAGGTCGAACTGGAATGAACTGGTTCAAAGCCCTGAGTGAAAACCACTGTTTGGAAGTTCCCCCAAGCACCTGCAGGTGGATCAAGGGCAGGGATGAGATGACTCAGAGAAGCCAGTTAGGAGACCATTGTGAGGCGTTTGGGGCTCTTGCAGACTAGGGACCTGTCCTTTTTCTTCCCTGTATTCCCAATCCTAGATCAGTGCCTGTCACATAAAATGCCATACATGAAATGGTTGTGGAATGACCTAAGCAGGTGCGAGATGATAAAGGCCTGCGTTCTACAGTGGTAGAAACTGAAAGAGGAAGACAGATTCCAGAGACGGGAGACTTTGACAGTGCTTGATGACTAACTGGATGGGGATTAGGGATCGTGCATTAGTGGGAAAGTAAGAAACTGGCGTGAAGGCTGGGGCTTCTCTTGGTACAGTAGAAGGAGTATGGACTGTGTGGGCATTGCCATGGAACAGCCTCCAACAATTCTGCAGGTCTTGTGAAATCAGTGTTTTGTTACTGCACTCAGTGAGTTGACACCGGCTCATTGCACCCCCATTTGTGTCAGAGTAGAACTGTGTTTCATAGGGTTTTCAGTGGCTGGTTTTTTCAGAAGTAGATCGCCAGGCCTTTCTTCTGAGGCGCCTCTGGGTGGACTTGAACCACCAACCTTTTGGTTAGTAGCCACATGCTTAACCTTTTGCACCACCCAGGGACTCTGCACTCAAAGTAGGATATGTAGATTGGGAACTTGTCTATAGGTGAAACTTTGTCTTCTGCAAGAGAAGCCCTTGGGGAAGGATTCCTCTTTGGGGAAGCCCAGAATTTAAAGACAGAAAGGAGGAGTTGTTATCAAAGAGAGGGTAGGGGCGGGCTAGAAGAGTAAAGAGTTTCTGGGTGTTGCGGCTGTCTGGATAATTCATAATTCAGCTTTCTTTTGCTTGCAGGGGAGGAAAAAAAAGAAAAAACCCGTAGCCATCAAGTCGATTCCGACTCATAGCGACCCTGTAGGGCAGATTAGAGCTGCCCCATAGAGTTTCCAAGAGTGCCTGGTGGATTTGAACTGGCAACATTTTGGTTGGTTAACAGCTGTAGCTCTTAACCTCTATGCTACCAGGCTTTCCGCTTCCAGAGGAAGTAGATTTTTACTTTCTGTTTTTTTGCCGGGTCGTTCTGTTGTGTATAGGGTCGCTATCAGTTCGAACCAACTTGACAGCACCTAACAACAACAACAACATTGCTGCTGTAGCAAATTGCTACAAACTTGCAGGTTTAAAACAGCACAAATTTTTTATCTGATAGTTTCTGTAGGTCAGAGTTCCAGGTAGGCTCAGCTGGGTCCTCTGCTTAAGGTCTTAATGGCCAAAATCAAGGTGTGGCAGTGCTACTTTCTTTTCTGGAGGCTCTGGGGAAGCTCTGCTTCCAAGCTCCTTCAGGTTGTTGGCCAAATTCAGTTCCTTTCAGTTGTAGGACTGAGGTCCTCTTCCCTTGCTGGCTGTTGGTCAGTTCATTCCTAGAGGCTGCATGCATTCTCTTTCATGCTTTCTAGGGGACCCTCCAGAAGGTGGGGTAGAGTTCGTCTCAGGTTTAAAATCTGACTTTACTGCTGCATCTCTCTGACTCCAGCCAGAGAAAATTCTGTTTTTAAGGACTCAGAATGGGCCTACTTGGGAAAGCCAGGATAATCTCCTTGTTTTAAAGTCTGCAGTCTTAGTTCCATCTGCAAAGTCCCTTTTGCCATATAATAGCATATTCAGAGGTTCCAGGGATTAAAACCAGTTGCTGTGGAGTTGATTCTGACTCATGGCGACCCCCTGTGTGTCAAGAGTAGAACTGTGTTCCATAGGGTTTTTTTTTTTCTTAACAATAAATTTTTCATTAGTAGCTAACTCAGGACAATGGGATTTGGAGGAGAGGGCTAAGCTGGGATGGGAGACTCCATAGGGTTTTCAGTGGCCAATTTTTCTAAAGTAGATCACCAGGCTTTTCTTCGAAGCCACCTCTGGGTGGACTCGAGCTTCCAACCTTTTATTTAGCAGCTGAGCTTGTTAACTGCACCACCCAGGGACTCCTCTAGAGATTAGGGCATGGATATTTGGGTGGGTGGGGGGTCCTTTTACCTAACACAGTTTTAAAAGTTGTCTTCCTAACTTGGTTTGAGTGTTCTCAGTTCTCAGATTTGTCTGTTTCCTCTCCAGATTTCGCTTTAAAAGAAAATTGTAATTCTTGATGGCTTGATTTACTGTGTTCACACGGTTAAAAAGGAGGATTTGCATTACGATATTTGACATACCTTTGATTCTGACTTTCTCCAGTGTTTATGCTATTGTCAGCCATTTTGGGAAATGTTTTGAACCTGAGTAATTTATAGTTAGGGAGTGGTTAGGCAGTTGGCTGCTAACCGAAAGGTTAACGGTTCAAACCCACCAGCCGCTCTGCGGGAGAAAGATGTAGCAGGCTGCTTCCGTAAAAGACTACAGCTTGGATTGAGAAACTGACTTGAGCTGTGAACTTTCACCTAAAGCACAATAAAACTTTTTTTTTAAAAGATTACAGCCTTGGAAACTGTATGGGGCAGTTCTACGCTGTCCTGTAGTGTCACTATGAGTCAGAATTGACTCAATAGAAGTAGGTTTGGGTGGAATTTATAGTTGAGTGAGGGAATAAAGGAAGCGTAGCAAAGAAGAACTGGGATGCTCTGGTGTGGGAGAGAGGGCACCTGACAGTTTACTGTCTTTGCCGGGGTCTTGAGTAGGTACCATACGACTAGAGGCCAGTCCCTCCGAGCACAGGCCACCGCACTGAGAAGCAACGTGAGTTGGGGCTGGTTAGTAGAGCCATGATTCGCCCTTGTGGGACTGTAGTCCCACCTCTTAGTCCTGCACTGTCTCACCCTCCTGTGACCTGTCCTGGGCAGCGGCCTCCCCTCCAGGTCCCAGCCTTCCTGCCCCAGCAGCCAGCATGCTAGGCTCCCACAGCTGCCCTTCTGCAACCCATCAGCACTCAGACTGAAACTCCAGTGCTCTCTCTCCCAGGCCCTCTCCATAGCCTGGCCTAGCCTCTCTTGTCTCTCGGCTTCTTCAACATTTCAAGCAGTTTTGGGGGCATATGTCTCTGTCTGGATTGGTCTTCCTTTGTGCTCTCTTTTTGAACACTTTTTTTTAAATCAAGTATTTAAGGTGTTCAAAAATGAGTAGACTCCCCCTACTATTTACACGACCAGCTCCTTCTCTTTTTGTCTAGGTGTCTGCTTACGTATCAGACACTCAGAGGGCCCTTCCCTGCCTAACTTGGTCCTCCGTCTCATAGGCTTTCTCTCGGCCCTTTTAAGTTCCTCTGTAGGGCCTCAGGCCTTGAAACAGGGCACCTGAGATGTGAAACACCTGTTGAAGAATGGAAGAGGAAGTGTTTTTCCAGGGGGCTGTGTGAGCCACCCCCTCATGGCACAGTGACCTGAGCTAGCGTGTAGTGTGAAGCTCTGAAATTCCTGCTTTTGCCGCGTGTTAGCTGAGTGAGTGACCACAGGCAGGACACTTAACCTGTCATGTATGAAATGGCAGGAGTCCATTCTGTCTCACAGGGATGGTGGGAGGGAAATGAGACTTCACAGGCCCGGTGCCTCCTCCCTGTGCTCCTTGCAGGAGTAGGAGATGTGTATCCTTGGCTCGTGAGGATGACACCTCCAGGCC